ATTTTTAATTTGTACACATATATTAGTTTCTTTTTGTGCCCATATTTTTTAAAGTTTTATTTGTGTTTGTACTCATGTGTACGTCATCACGTGACATTGTATATTTAATCAATGATAGAAAAATTACATATGGTATATTTATGTTTTATGCCTAAACTTTGTATCATATATTTGTATTTTTAGTTTATACCCACTTTTAATTTGCAACATTTTTTTAAATTTGTAGTATTTTCTTTTTAGCTTTATTTTGTACCCATGTATTAATTTCTTTTAGCGCCTATATTTTTTAAAAATTCATTTGTACTCATAATTTTTTAATCTTTTATTTGTACCCTAATTTATTTATAATGTACTCATTCTTCTTTATTAATAATGTACCATTTTTTTAACACTATGGATACATTCTTTTGTCATTTCTTATTTCTTATTTTTACGTAGTTTTTATCCATTTATTCAATCAAAATGTTTGAATTTTTTTATTGTAACTGTTCTAATAATATTATAATGAGGGATTTTAAATTTATAGGATTATAAATCTCATAAAATATTAAACAATTAATGTCAAAACTATAAAAATATAAATATTAATTGTAATATAATGAAGTGTACAAGATCAAACTTTGAATACCATTACGGTTTTAGTCAAAGAATATTAAGGATTAGGAACCGCATCCAAAGTATCCCTTCTGAAAAATACCAACAGATGGTTGGTTTTAAACAGACCACGGACTGTTTCATTTGAAAAGAAAAATGTTAATTTTATTTATTGTGATGTGATTATAACAATATGTTAAATACAGCATTCGGAAAAGTATTCAAGATATATTCTGGAAGATAAACTTTCTAGATTGCATGGTATTTTAATACCAATTTTATTGATTTGACATATATATATAGACCAGAAAAACAATTTTTTTTTATCTTTTTAAAAGGGGATTTCGTTATGGCAGTTCTTTTTCGGAGATTTGATAGACTCACAGATGTATTTCAGCCTCCTTCTGATCACCATCGTGTGATTTACCAGCACAAAGAATTGATCTAGGACGTACGGTATGAAATACGAACTTGAAATTTATCCATAAATAAAATTGGAAATTGACGTTTAGGGCCTCATGGTGACATACTTTCTTTATTACAAGGTATTAGTAAATTTTCTTTTCATTTTCTTTGACATATAAATAAACTTTCTAGATTGCTGAAGATTATTAGTAAGAGAACTATTATTAATACTCTAAAATCTCATTCTACACTCTTCAGAAGTGTATTTTTCTTTCTAATTTTAGAAAGTTTGGAGTGCAAAATGAGATTTTTGAAATGCCAATAACAAGTCTCATTAGTAAATGGTCGTAAACAATGTTCTAAAAGACGTTAGACGCAAGTTGGATGACGGGCTGGGCCCTAACGCCTAAGCAGTTAGGCAGATTTAAGTAAATTTAGTATATATTATATAAGTAAGTGTCTATTTATATTTTAAAAAAAAACACATAATTGTATTGGGATATATAAATTCAAAATAAAATGACATACAGATTATAAAGTGTTAGAACATATTGAAAATATGGGGAACAAGCATATAATGAGTGTTCATCTAAATATTTAACAAATCTTACATTTTATTGACAAAATAAAATGCAAAATGAAAATTATTCATTTTATGTTTAAGTAAAAGTCGCAACCTAGGTGAGTGACTAGGCAGGTTTAGACGGGCTAGGCCCACTTTCTTAATTTTTAAATGACTATGGATTAAACTGAACGGTGACCGCTAGGTAGAAATTTTTAGAACAATGGTTGTAAAAGCAGGGATTCATAACCTATGGCAGCTTATTTAGTTGCAATAATAACAGAACATCATTCTTTGAGCAAGAACTAAATTAACAGATTAATGGTTCAAATTCACTGTAAGTAGTACTATATATAGAGAGAGAGAGAAAGCACAGGAAACTTGATTATATATTATCAGCTAAACTGCTACGGAACATTTCTTTTTATTGCTAACAAGTAATTCATATATAATCAGCAGATAATCACAATACATATAGTTAACAAACGTTGTTCAGGGATTATGCTTCTGTGTATAGATATAATCGACATGAGCAGCCAGAGTTCTTCTCATCAAGCACTCCTCCTCTCCAACTCCTTCACAGCTCCCAACTTCATCAACCTGTTCTGTTTCAACACCCTTAAACAACACACACACACCAAAAACCCATATATATCAAACTCATAATCCCGGTACTCGAACACAATAAAAACGAAATAGTGTTATACTAAAACATAATAAAAACATTAAAACTCAACGAACCTCGAGTTCGGTTTTCGCAGACTTCGCTGCTGAAAAAGCTGGTTCTGGTCTTGCTGCATAAACGACTACAGTAGAGCACAGGACAAGGGCTAAGAAGAAGAGGGCTTTATATGATCCGGCCATTTCTCTCTGTGTTTTTGTACTAGAACTATATGCAAAGGGTAGGGGTATATATAGAGCTTGATATACACAGAGAAAAGAGAGTGAGGAATTGAATGAATGTATAGAAATGTGATAAGAAGATGACCATTTTAGGCTTTATTGTGTGAACTAGGAGAGAAGGACGACTTTGTGCAGCAGGAGTATGGACCCAAACGTTTTGTACTTTATGGGCCATTACTAACATACTTAATAAAAGGAAGACTTTTTCTTCTTTCAAATTCTGATTATTATTTTTATGCAGTTCTAGCCTATGACAAATAATTAATAAATTGGCAAAAATAAGTGCGACCGCTGAAAAAAGTAGAAATAAAACATAAATGATTTGAAACTCTTCTCATGGCTGATATCGCCGGGGATTTGCTTCATTGCATGTTGTTGGTAGAATAATGGCTTCAGCCAACTTACATTTTGAACCACATGAAGAGGTTTCTTTGGTCGTTAAAAAGGAAAGAGGCCAAAGAATCCAAAAATGATTTCTTGCTGGCTAAAGAATAAACTGAAAAAGAAAAAGATATATTCAGCCAAATGGTGTCAAATATTCCCAGCCAAATAAAGTATAACTCAGTCCGATGTTTAATTTCGAAAACAATAAAACTTGCATGCATTTACTGTTCACAATATTTGTTTTATGTTTGCTTAGTGATCAACACATTATTTTACATGAACGACACATGTTTCCAATGAGCGTATAAATTCTTTTCTCTAAAATGATTCATAAGGGAATTAGGTTTGGAGAATTTTCTGTACCAAAGCTCATTTGTTAATGGGCATCTGGTAAAATTAAGAGTGATACTACTGCATTTTGTATTCTATTTTTCAATCACTTTAAAGAATTTGACTTTTATTTAATGCACTGGTCATTTAACAGTCGAATAAGAGATTGTTAATGTCGAACTTAGTGGTCCACCATGCACACAAGAATGTTCTTGAGCCTTTACTCTGGTTGATTATTCAAAGAGTCAAAACCATTTCTAGAACGGCCATTCATTCTTTCATTTTCCGGCTTTGAATCATGCTATAAGTCACCATGACATGTGCATATGCATGGTTTTTTTGCCCTTTCTTTTGCAGAACCACGTATATATTCCGTTCGACTTCATTACCCTTAGCACTTAAGATTAATTACCCGTAAAGATACCTGTTGACTCAATTCATGAGAAAAGGTTTCCTCCTCTTAACGGTTTTTCTTACACTACCATCCTTTTGTCTATTATATACATCAAGTATCACTATAATTAAGAAATTAAACAGAGGCGACTTCAAATTAAGGAGTGATTAAATATATATATATATATATATATATATATATATATATATATATATATATATATATAATATTTGGTACACTGATAATTTTATTATGTCACGATGGAATAATTAAAGAGAAACATAAAGAAAAACTATTCCATCACGAAACGAAGTAAGAATAATAAGATATGTAGTAATATAAACAAAAGTTTTCTTCCATCCACACTAGCACTCTAACAACAATCAGATTGACATAATCATGAATTGCGCCACTTGTGCCGTACTACTTTGACAAAAGAAATAATTAAGGTTAATGAAAGTACAAGTTGATCTTAACACAGATTTCCTTGGAATCAATAATCATCTTTGCATTAGTTATCAGTGTATATATTTATGCATGTGTATGACCTCGTGATTACGTACCTTCTATAAAAGTGAAAAGAAAATAAATTATAAAACTAGATTTTAATTCTTAAATAAGATGACGTTTAGATTAATGCCTGGTATAAGATTCAAAATTGAGTTTAGCCCCTTGGTTCTACTTAAATGCCAGGATTTATATTTCATCATGTCATTTTGTTTTTGGTAATTTCATGATTTTTCTTTTTCTAAATCTACACAAATTGATTATAATATATTTCGATAAAATATTTAGGTACACTAATTCATTATAAATATATTTCAGTACAATTATTTAGACAAATACATTATAATATAGTTTGGTACAGACATTTCAGTACAAACATTTGGGTACAGACATATGATACGAACAAAGTCAATTCAAAATATTTCGGTACAGTTATTTCTATCACTACTAGAAAATATTATTTTGCCCACAAATTTTAAGCCGACAAAGTAAAATTTTGCCGCCACAAGACTCATTCGCCGACGAAAATTTTAATTTGTAGGCTCATAATTGTTGAACTTGTGCCGACAATATTTTTGTCGGCGAAAAATATTTATGCCGACAAATAAAATAACACTCGGGAAAGCATGCAGGTTTGTCGACAATCAGAAGATGGGAACGGACTAATTTATTCTCGCGCCTTTTGTTTTTTGGTCTTTTTGATTCACCCGCTTCTTCTTTTTATCGAAAAATTCCCCCTATAAAAATCATTGTATTTTCATTGAACCCTAATCTTAACTGTCGATAGCCCACCCCTCCCCTTCTCTTTGAAATCGTAACTTTCTGTCTTCCAATCGAGCTCCATCGACATCGCCGTTGCTCCGTATGCCCGACATCGCCGTCGCTTCGTGTGCTCGACATCGCTGTCGATTCGTCTCCTTGCGTCACCGTCGAAGTGCCCGACCATTCTAGCTTTGAAATTTCTAATGCCGGGTGCTTCTCTGCATTTCGTTCTCTAAAACTTTGGGTAAGTTCTCAATCTCTATCTACCCTATTCTTTCCCCGTAGCTTTTTGGTTAGTTTCAATTTTATGGTGCTTTTCTTAGATTTGTTCTACCACTGTAATTTTGAGGGATTTTAGGTAATGAATTTGGTTGAGAATCTAAGTTAGGTTTGTAATTTCTTTCTGGGCTGCCTGGGTTTGAGGATGATTAGTCTACTTTGTGAATTTTAATTACTTTTAACTTTTATTTCTGAGAAACTGCAATCAAAATGCAGTTATGGTTTTATAGTCATAATCAATTGTGAGTCTTTGCACCACATCAATCAATTCCTATGTTTAATCAATTGAAATTAGGGTCATGTTACTAATGAAGTTGTCGGGTTAAGGTTATATGATATTCTGCTTCTAGGATTTGTGTTTTTGTTTTTTAATCTTTTTCATTTTCTGTCTATTATTAATTCCTAAACGAGAACATCAATTTGGGAATGCTTCTGTGGTATTAATTTATCTTCTATCTTCATTTTATATAATTTGCTTCTGATATATGCGTGTTATTTAGATTATTGATCAAATCAACTGTGTTGGAGGCTAGGATCTCAAATAAGTGAGTAAAAAAAATCTGAATTGTCCCTCTATGTGCAGAACACTATGAGCAATGAGCTTTCTGCAGGTAAGTTTGATTGTGATGAGAATATATTTTTATATTTTGTTTTCCTCTGCCTTATGTTTATCCTAAATACATTGATGACATCCCTTGCATTTTCTTGCATGTCGGAGTAGTTTGATTATGTCTAATGCTAGACATGAGCAAGAAGCATACTGGAACAATGAGCACAGATTGGCCTACACATCTGAGATCTGCACCGCCTCTGAGGGTGACCGCTATGAGAAATCGGTCATTTTCCCATTACTCTCCCTGGTTTTTATTGCTTTTAAAGTTCCAATATTTAATCAAATTAATATTCTAGTAGTAGTAGATATCTCTACAACTGGGCTGTATATTTCATGAAAAATTTGATATGTGGTCCAATTCTTCTGTTGCAATCCTTTATTGTTCTCGGGGTATATTTTTCTCGTTGTTTTGACAACCACCAGTCATTTGGTACATGAGTCATTTTCAAGTCAATAATGTTTAGTAACTATTTAACTTTCTTTCATCATTAACTGGTTAGATTTTAATCCCAGCCTGTGTAGAAATGTTTAGTAACGGCACACATTCAGTTTGGTGATTTGGATTCATTTTTCACCGGTGTTTCTTTGGCATTATTTAATCTTCCATAAAAATAGTACTTGTACAGAAAGAGCTTGGGAGGCAAACAATGCCTGCTCTATGCGAAGAAGCGCAAGATCAAAGAAGCTCTAGAAGGTTCGTTATCTCTCTAGTCTATAACGTATATATGATCGGTTATATATGAAAGTTACTTTTTTTCTTTTGTTTATAATGTATCACTGTCGTAAAGTCTTGTGTAATCTGGTGATAATTTGAACATGTAATTGTTTAGTTTTTCATTAAGTTATGCTGTTGATTCTTCATGGCTTTCATTTCTGAATCTCAGTCCCAATGTCACATTAACAATACGTATGCAAACGCATCTCAAAGAGACCCAAAAATTTTGATGACTACTACCTGGGACCCGAGTGCTCCACTAATACAATTTGCAAAGGTTGGCCTAGCCTTTTTCCTTACTTCTCACATTATTCAAATCAGTTTTGCTGCACTCTTGTGTTCATTTTGGTGGTATCATGCTGTGTTGGTTATTGATTGTTGTTTTTGTTGCACGCGTGTCCATTTTGGTGATATTATACAAGGCAGGTGTTGATTATTGATTGTCGTTGAATCACACTGGCGCAAGAACTGAAACTCTTTTTTCCCATTGCGCTACAAATGAATCGTGGTGGCCAGGTTGGTGCACATTTTCAATGAGCCTTCTAACTATTTGGTTATTGTTTGTGTTTTGTAACATTTATTTTGCACCTATTTGGTTATGTTTGTGTTTTGTAACATTTATTTTGCAGGTGCAGGATGTTTTGTGATGCTACATGGCAGCCAATTTTGAGGAATGACAGTAGGATAATATTATTGTGTAACATATGCTTTCGTATAAGCACTCTAGATGTACATTAAAAATTTATCAATCAATAAAGTATTATTTCTTAACAACTGTGTATTGTATTTTGATATGTTTATGTAGTTGTTGAGCATTAAAGTAATTATTAATTTTTTTTTATAAATTAAATGTCCTTCCCGACGAAACCAGTTTTGTCAAGACAGAGAAGACTATGCCGACGAAATATCCATGGTGACAAACATATTTTGTTGGCTTAAAAGTACTATTGGTAGGCTAAAATGCCTTTTACCGACGAAAATATTTGTCGGGACACATGGAAATGCCGACAAAAAACTGTTTGTCGGTAAAATTTGAACCTTAGCCGACAAAATACCAAAATTTGTAGGGAAAACTCTTAGGCGACATGCTTTGCGAGACAAAATGGCCGACAAATTTTTTCGTCGGAAAAGACTCTTTGCCGACAAATTTTGGCCTTTGCCGACAAAGTAGTTTTGTAGGTAAAGTCAAAATTTGTAGTAGTGTATACACTTAAAATCAAAATCAAAATTTTGTTGTGAAGACATTAAATAACAAAAATAAATACGAATTTTATTAAAAGTATACTTCAAACAATTAAAATAAATACATAATCTAACACCAATTTTTTTTTCTTCTCAAATTTCAACATTTTTCATGAACTAATGTTCAAAAACCCCAATGTAAATTATGTAGATAACTTATGAATAGTTTTGGCCGTATGCATTGAATCAGCTAAACCGTAAAACCCTTAGAAGACAATGGTAGTGAGACCTGGTATTCATGTCATGTTTTTCGTGTTCGTGTCATTTTCCTATCATACCCGATATCTTAACGGGTCATGTCGTGTAACACCCGTTAAAATAAATGGGTAAAATGACCCGACCTGATAATATTAACATGTAATATGACTCGACCCGTTACCCGTTAAGGAAAATATATTTTACACCAATAAATAATCAAATGAAAAACATAATACTAAATAAGTATATACATACCATATTATCACATTCAAAACATAAAAACGCATTTGTCTTTCAAGTATTACATATTTACATACCCAAAATAAGAGCATAATAAAAAATAAAAAATAAAACATTAGAACATTACAAAATATCAAATGTTCAAAAGATTTGCAAAATTAAGGGAGTTATGTTTCAAGGTTTGGAACCTTGCACATTTTCTTACAAACTCTTCAATTTTCATCAATCACCATGGGAAACGGTATTGGAACTGTGGCTTGACTTCAAGAGTTTTATTGATGATATTTTTAGTGAGGCTTTCTACATTAGCACTCTCTTCTCATTTATCCTATAACTATTGTTTAAGTAAAGTCTTTAATAGTTTTTTAATTAATGTAGAAGTGTGAAAAATATAGAAACAAATATTTATAAACGCTTGTAATGACAAGCTTTACAACTTTCGTGAGGGGCTTAACTTTGAAATGTGCCACTATAATTATATAAATCATAGATCAAAATTTAACCGTTGATTGTTGTTTACATTTATGCTTCATTTTTCTCACCAAATTGTTTTTTCATATTTTTTTTTTTGAAAACTTGATCTATTAGAGGATACAGGAAGATGAAGGTTTAGATCGTTGATATTATGTTCAGAGTTTTATCGTTAATGAAAATATTACTTGGTGTTTATAAAGTTTCTACAAATTATATAACATCAACTCATATTTCAATTAACTGTAAATATCGGGATGTGATATCAAAGATTTGAACCGTTCATCTTCCTACATCCCCCAGAAGATCATGCTTTCAAAAAAGTAAATTTAAAAAATGAAATTCAATATAAAGAATAAAGCCTAAACGGCAATCGACGGTTAAATACAAATTTAAGGTTTTATGGATTATAGTGTCGGATTTTGAAGTTGACCCCTTTACGAAAGTTGTAAAGCTTGTCATTACGAGTGATTGTATATATATATATATATATATATATATATATATATATTTTTTTTTTTTTTTTTTTTTTTTTACATTTCTTACACTTCTACAATAATTATTATTAATTTTATTACTTTTACACTCAAATAAAAAACATTATTCATGACGGTTTGGAGGGTTTTAAAAATCTAAACGATAATGTAAGTGTAACCATTGTCTACTCGTGGAGGAATTATGAATCACGAGTGTTTATATATTCTTTCACATTTTTCATACTTGTAGGGATGTCTTATTGCCTATACTAATACTATACTAGTTGATTTTAATTTTGGGCAACGACATGTTAAGTAAAATTTATCCTATTAATGATAATAAGAAACTCTCATAATAAAAATAAATAAATGAATAAAACTTAATTTTTTTTAACTTATATAGAATAATAACACAAAAATATATATTTTATATAGAATATACCAATATATACAATATGATAATTGTATTTTATAATAAATGTTTTAGTAATTAAACTTTAAAATTATAATTTATTTTTCCTAACAGGTCGAAATGGGTTACCCACGTGTTACCCGTGTGTATACCTGTTAAGAACCCGTTATTAATGGGTTCTTAACGGGTCACCCGATAATGACCCGATTAGTTATCGTGTTAATCTGAAACCCCTTATTTTTGTGTCCTATCACCGTGTCGTATAAGAAACTGTCAAGTGGTAGCCGTGTAATGAAGCAAGAGAACAGAAAAATTATACCTTGTTTACTGAATTTGACCAAAGACGGTTACAAACAATAAAGCACATCATGCAAATTAAAGTAAATAAAGAGAATAATGCAGAGTTTAAGGCATGCATATATGCCAAGGGTTTTGTGCAGCCGAAAGCCAGTGCTTGAATGAGTCAAAAGATTTCCATGTTGAAATTCTTTCGGTATAGGTAAAGTGACATTGGGTTCGACAACTTCATTTTTTTTACCTTTTATACTATTTGAAAAAAGTTGAGGTTTCATCATAAAATTAAGGGAGTTTTAATGAAACACTTCCGATACTATTCACTTTTAACGAAAAACCACATTTTTACCTTTCCTTGGTACTATTCACTACACCTTTACTTGTCATTTTTCATTAAAATTAAAGTTTTTTTGGATTTTTCGTTAGTTTTCCTTAAAATTATTAATTGATAATACAAAGATTAACTCATTCTAAGGGGTCTAGTAGTAGCCCATATAAGATCCATTCTCCCATCATTGTGAGATTCAATCTCAACACACCCACTTACGTGTGGCGAATTTTCAAGTTTAACACATAAACAACACAAACGGAACTACATAGAGCACGCGTGGTCATTAGGCTTCATACGTGGGACAATCTACTCTGATATTACAAAGAAAGTTGAGATTCCACTATATAACTAATTGATAATATGAAAAGTAAATCAACTTTTTATAAACTAATATAAAATTCCTCCTCCTATTAATGCAAAATTCATTATTAACCGAAAACAGGCTTCAGAAATTTAAAGTACATGAACCTCTGCGTGGAGATGAATGAATGGTTAGCTAGAAAATTACATGGTGTGAATGATACGCTTTAGAAATTTTTTGAGGTTTCACTGCAAAATATGACACATATTGTTGTGCGTGCATCGCGGATGTTTAAATAGAATATTAGATTTTAGAAAATGATCAGAAATCGAGTACAAGAGAAGTGGATTATCTCGTGATTAGGGTTTTTATTATTTTTTTGTTTAACTTGGTGCGTTTTGTGTTCAAATCCTTCATTACTTAAATACACATGATTCTATAAATTATTTATTAAGTAGCTATGTGCCTAGATATAGAAAATATTAGAGAGATCATATTGTCGTATCATATATTGATGTATCGTTTGATGTGACGAGCGTTCATCGCTAACCAGTTAGTGTTTTAACATGAAATTAGCCACTTGTTTGGACTTATTGAACAATATTTCTCATAATATGAACATATCATTTTTCTTAAGGTTCTCATGGAAATATCATCCCTGCAAAAATTGACTAAAATCGAATATCATGTGGTTATCTAATTATGACATAATAAAATAGACCAAGACAGAGTTGTTGATAAAATATAAAAATGTTCACAACAATAGTTAAAGAGATATAAATGATTTTTTATTTGCATGATTTTTTACAAGAATAATTTACTAATAATATCCAAAAATCTGCGCAGTTCGAATGAGATTACATTGTGAAATAGGTTTAACAAATAATTTAACGCCGTATTACAATACTAACTAATTACGTATTTAGCGATCATATATAGGGGTGGTTCGGTATGGGATCCCGTACCGAAACCCTTGTCCCGATTCCCATACCGAAATTTTCGGGAATCCCAATTTCAATACCGATCCCAAACCAAATTTTCGGGAATCCCGAAATAGTTTCGGGATTTCGGGACAAATCGGGAATCCCAAAAAAAATTTGGGCTTTTGGACAAAAAAAAGCTAATATTGGTCCAATTGGACAAAACCTAATATTGGGCCATGCCCACTGAATGTAACAGCCCCCATATGGGCTTAACTTGATTCAACCAAATAAAAAAAATATTGGGATAATTGATGTTGGCCCGAGTCTGCCATTCTGTGCTGTTACTTATACCCTAAGGTTGGTCACAAAGTATGAAAATGTAGGGTTCACAAAGTTTTGGGTAACATCAATCTGTGTTGTTAGGACAAAAACCTATGAAAATGTAATTTACCCTATTCAAAAGCAATCTGCCAATTGCCAATCTGTGCACAATTGCATATGCCTATTCAAGTTCTACTACACATGCATGCAATAAAAATAAATTAAGTACCAAATCCAAAAGCAAAAATATTAGTTACAAGCCAAGGTTTTAAAATAAATAAAGTAACAAACCCAAAAGCAAAAAAATTAGTTACAATCCAAAGTTTTAATAATTAAGTTACAAACCAAAAGCAAAAAAACAAAGTTTCAAGTTTATGAAGATTGTTGACCTCTTCGGCCTCTTCGGCCCCTTCTTGTTGGCACTTGTAATTTTCCCCTTGATGTTGATGGTTGAGCCATTCACCTTACAATGGGTGGTCGTGGTCGTGGAGGTAGTGATTGATTTTGACGTTGTTGAATTTGTACTTGAGGTGGTCAAGGAGGTGGAGGTGGAGGTGGCATTTCATTTTCTTGTGTTGTATTCTCCTCACCTCCCAAATTAGCCATGTCTAAAACAATAAACCACAAATCATTTACATTGAATTATAGTCTAATAGATAATAAATACTAAGAAAATAAAAGATGAAATTAAATTGTTTACTTACTTCTTTCTAAGCGTTCAAGCTCCTCGTAGGAACATAATTCGTCAAGGGTAAGCTCCTTGTAGAAACAAAATTCTTTTCCTCTAAGCCAATCACTAGTACACACTAAAGCCTCAACCGTTTTAGGTGTTAAGGAAGCTCTAAAAGGATCAACAACTCTCCCACCAAGACTAAAGGCATTCTCACTAGCAACGGTGCTACTAGGAAGGGCCAATACATCCTTAGCAACTTTACTAAGAATTGGATATTGACCACAATTTCCTTTCCACCAATCCAAAAGATTGAAACCCTCATATGTTAGGCTTTGATGTGGATCATTGAAGTACATATCCACTTCATTGGCTATCTCATTTTGTTGTGCCTCTGCTCTCTTTCTTTGGATCTTCTTTGCCATACTTGAAGCAACATCAATATCTACCATCACACCCCCCGCCCCATCATCTAGTACAACACTTGATCTTTGCTCCACATTTGAGGTAGCACTACTACTAGTACTACTACCACTACTACTACTAAGGACCACTCCCTCCTTATATGCATTATACAACTCGGTTACATAACCTTTAACCCTTACTTTCTCCTCCCTTATTTTGTCACATCCATAGCCGAGCTCTTCTAGATTTGTCTCCAACATATCAAATTTGTACCTCGGGTCGAGTGATTGGGCCACAAAGAGAATAGGATTCACCTTTTCAATGTCACCCCAATATTTGTCAAACTTGAGCTTCATTGAGGTAGACACACTTTGCAAAGTGGCATTAGAGGCGTTTGAAATTTGTTCTTCTATCTCCACTTGCAAGGCAATCACCGTGCTAAATATTAAGTGTGACGTTGGAGTAAGGGTTGCACTCAATTTCAAGGTGGCATCATAAATTATTTTGAGAAAGTGAGCAAAACTCACCGACCTTTCCCAATCATCCACCTCCGGATGACCCACCCGCTTGGCCTTTCTTGTCACCCCATCAACTTCTTTCGAGACCTCCTCTTTAAAGTAAGCAATGAAAGAGTCACACTCAAAGGCCATCTTAGAGAACACTTCTTTAAACTTGAAAGCACTATTAAGCATTTGATATGTGGCATTCCACCTTGTGACAACATCAAAAGGGATACTTGACATCCTATCAAATCTCAACAAGACACAATATTCCCTAAAAGACTCCAACCTTCCCGGGGATGAGTGTATAAACTTCACACAATTTCTTAAGGCTTCAATCTCCATACTAAGCTCCGTCATTCCATCCTTAACTATCAAATTGAGGATGTGACAAGCGCACCTCATGTGCAAGTGAGCCCCATCAAGTAAAAGAGTACCATTTGACTTGAGTCTTCTTTTTATGTATGCAATAGCGGTGTCATTTGCACTAGCATTGTCAACGGTAATGCTAAACACCTTGTCTATGCCCCAATTATTCAAGCAAACCTCTAGACATCTTCCAATATCATCACCCTTATGAAAAGTAACTTGGACAAAGTTTAGGATCCTCTTATGTAACCCCCAATTAGTGTCCAAAAAATGAGCCGTGATGACCATGTAGTTTATCATTTGAATTGAGGTCCAAGTGTCGGTTGTAATACTCACTCTCAACCCCTTAATCACACTTTTTATTTTTGCCTTCTCTTCAACATACAACTCCAAAACCGCCGCCGCCACCTTATGCCTATTAGGAAGTTTGTACTTTGGATTCAAGTCATGAATAAAATCTCGAAAGTCTTCTTGATCAACCACCCTAAAAGGCATCTCCGCTATTATAATCCACCTCACACATCTCCTATCAAGTCTTTTTTGATTGAATGTGTGAGTGACAACCGGACCTCCCATCCTCGCTTGTGTCAATGTAGGTTGATTCGGATCCACATTCTCAAAGAGACTAGAACCCGGGCATTTCCTCAAATGCTTAAGAATTCCCGTTGTCCCATGAGTTATAAGGTGTGCCGGTACTAAGAGTTTGCAATGCTTGCATTCGGCCATGTAAGATTTCTCCCCATTATTATCGGTGATCGTTACCCTCTTAGCATCATTCCACACCGGACTTGGACCCTTTCTCCTATTGCCCTTTTTCCGAGGAGGACCATCCCATTGTCTCACTACTTCTACTTCTTCTACTTCCTCTTCCCCCTCTTCCCTCTCTTCTTCTATTTGTTCTAATGCAATATCCTCCTCCATATCCGGATCATCATCCCAACAATCTTCATAATAATCATTATGCAAATAATCTTGAGGTGAGGGAGTGCCTAGTTGAAGGGTACCACTAGGTTGGGTTTGTTTTCGTTTTCCTAATACCGAGACCATATGTGTACTAGATTGGCTACTAGATCCGTCCATCCTAACAAATAAAATAATAATGCACATTAATATATCACAACCACAGTTCAACATTTATCCAAATTCCAAACAATAAATAAAATCAATGGATCAAAAATCTGAGCAGATTCTCACAAAAATATAAGTAGCCCCACCCCCACAATTTGAGCAAATGCACATAAATAAAAACCAGCTTGTTTCTAAACTAGGAGAATCTAAGTAGCCCCACCCCCACAAAGATAATACAAACATGAAAGTTGGAACCTACAAACAAGAGTTTTCAACACTTACTTGTAGCGCTTGTATGCTAAACCTTTAAAAGCTGCTTGAGAATAAATGATTCAAGAAAAACAACCTGAAGAATAATAATTCAAGAAAATAATTAGTAGAGAATCATAGTAGACTAACATGCTTAACATATATTGTGTTTTCAAACCAATATGGATACAATGCTTAACATGCTTCATGGAATACTCATCATGCAGGTTTGTTGTGGTCTTACGGACAGTTTTCTAGGACTTCTAGTTATTAAAACAACTAACATGCCGAATTCACCAAACCAAGTGGGTCAAAGTAAAATCTCAATGCCTATAGTAAGTTCAAAGTTTACTTCTTTCCCAAATACTCTTCGGATTGGCTATTGATGTTTTTAACCATTTACCCAATTGAAATTAGAAATTATACATCTAGTAAAAGCAATAACAGCTATAAGTTATAACATCAACAACCAAAAGTAAGAAAATTTGTCAAAGAATGGAAATAGTACAAAGAAGTAAGCATCTTATTTGTCAATTAGCTAACTAATAGTTAATTATGTGATTAGGCTATAATGGATTCAGGAAAGCTGATCATCTAAAACATTTTGACTGAACTAAACTAACAAAATCGTTAGCAGTTAAAACTTTAAACCATTTGAAAATTTCAAAGCAGAATCTACCAACAAAAAAAAAGACTCTACAACTGACTATCTGTTTACTAATCTCATGACAAAATTCATCATAACTCACTCATTCATCTCACATAAGTTTCAGCATCCCTTGGGAACGCAAAATATACACACACACACACTGACACACTAGATACACACACACACACACACACACACACACACACACACACACACACACACACACACACACACACTGATTTGTTGGTCTTAACCCTGCATCAATCATAGAAGCAAAAACACTTATTACATATGTAATTGGTATTTTTTTCTACCCAATTCGAAAAATTCTTTCAGAGAATATGCAATCATTTCATATTACAGAGGATTGTTCATAACTTCATATTACAGAGAGAATACATACTATCATTTCAAATGACGAATATATACTAACATGCAAATGACGAATATATACTATCATTTCAAAGACGATCCAGATGAAGAGACAAAATCGCAAAAGAAAAGAGAGAGAGTGAGAGGTGTGTGTGTGACGGTGAGATAGAGAGATTTCAGAAAACTAAATTAATTACCTAATTTGGGGTGAGAGTGAGACTCAGACTCGGTGTGGTGGTGAGACCGTGAGAGAGATCCCCAGTTCTGTGACCTGACCTGTCCGTGAAAGACAATCGCCCTAGAGAGAGAGAGATCGCGAGAGAGAGTGGTGGTTGTGTGGTGAAGGAAGGCTGGAGAGTTAGAGACGAGAGTATGGTGTGGTGGTGGGCCGGTGGCTGGTCGGAATTCGACAGTATGGTGAGGGACGACGTTGGTGAGGGTCGGAGGCTCAGGGCTGCGCTTCGAAACAAATGAACGGAGGAACTACAAAAGTGAAATGTGATCTGACCTAAAAACAAATCAACGGCACAGATTAAATCCAAAACAATCAACGGTTGAAATAATTCTCTTATAATTAAAAAATTATATATATATATTTATATTTTTTTTTTTGGTTCGGTATGGGAATACCGAAAAAATGAAATGCAATACCGAATCCCATACCGAAACTTTCGGTTTGGTTTGGGATTACATCCCGAAACTTTCGGGAATTTTGGTTTGGGATCGGGATTTTTTTGGTTTGGTTTGGGATTTTTGGGATTTTTTTCCAGCCCTAATCATATATGGTCATGAATTAATAGAGAACAAATAAAATATAAAAGGTTTTCCACAGTGTGGTACAATTGCATTGCATCTAATGGCCGTGGGCTCCATGACAGAAAACATCAAAGGTTCATTCTCCACCTCCGCTGAATTCACCCATATGAAACCAAAACAGGCTTTGACTACAGCAAAGACAAATGTTCTAAAAAAAAAAAAAGTTAGGCACTAGTTAAACGGCAAGCTGAGGCCTAGAGCCTAGGTTATTAGACGGGGTAGGAGGGTCTTAGAGAGACTAAACAGATTTAAATAATTTATTATATTTCGTAATAAGTGTTTACTTTTTGGACGTAAACTACAAAGTAGATCGACATATAGATTATAAAGTATTTATTCATAGTGATTAATCGAAACATGGGGATCAAACATATAATGTGTGTTCATCTAAGTATTTAACAAGTCTCTTACAATTATTGAAAAAAATAAAATTCAAAATGCCAGGTATCTATTTTCTTCCTAAGTAGGAGTTGTGACCTAGGCGGATGCTTAGGTGGGTTTGGACGGGCTAGGCGGTCTAGGTGGGCGCCCAGGCGGTCTAGGCGGACACCTAAACAGGTCTAGCTGCCTAAGAATTAATCGAAGCAATGACTAGCCATCTAGCGCTTAAGTCCTAGACGAAGATTTTTAGAACTGTGAAGACAACACATGTAAATCTTGCCTCCTAGTCTGCATTACATGCTGATAGTTTGTTACATGCAAGAAAAAATATGCGGTCTCATGTCCTTTCTCCCAGTTGCCCTTTTTTCAGTGGTTTGCCTTATTGAGTTTCATGGACATGTCTTTCAAGCTTTTGTAGTTGTCGGTGACAATTAGCAAACCTCAGTTCTATCTCATCATCGCATTACAACACAGAGCCGAGACTAAAGTTTGGACTTGACCAAAAATACGTTCCATCAATTGCATCGAAAAAAGGGATATATGTGAAAGTTATATGAGGAAGAGGTAGTGGAATTAGTATGCAATAATTTAGCAGTTGAGGTATTGAAAGATTGGATAAATTATGGTGAGATGGTAAATATCGTATGGTGTTAAGCCCAAACCATAACAAGTTCAATCATTACTACAAGAGATGACTTTGTACGTTTACCTCGGGTTTAATTTTGAACACGAATGATAATCATATTCTAAACTACACTAAGGGCAGGAGAGGAGTTGAACTTGAAATGCAATGAATTGAGAGAAATGCCCTAACCAACAAGACAATTCACTACTTACAAAATAAGAAGATGCAAAACTAGGGTTTAATTGTCTGCTCCTGTATTGATAACATACAAAAAATTGTTAGAATATGAGCATAAGTGTAGGAGTATTTTGGCCAGATGTTTGAGTTCAAATTGGTTTAAAAAGTCTTATTGGAATAGGTTTGGATCTTCTAATTTACATACGATTGAAAGTGGGATTGAGTCTAAAATTACCCGCTTATATTAAAAGTGGGAGACAATGTTTGTTTCAAGAAAAATAAGAAAAAAATAGTGGGAGACATTGTTGGTTTACTACAATGATTCTAATAGAAGAATATTGTTCATCTATATAAATAGTACGTCACTGTTATTACAGTAAAAATTGCTCCATATTGCACCAAATGCCTGTTGTTTGGTTAAGTATTGTGTAAATAAAGAGCTTATTGTTGAAGTCTACTGTAACTTTATCTTCTTCAATTTTCAAAGATAGATTATTTCTTACAAAAATATCTAGAATGATTGGAGAATAAATGGAAGGTTGATCAACGAATGATCTCCATGTATTCGCTTACTGCAAAAGACAGTCAAAAGAGTGGAGTGTGAATACAAAGTATCAAATTAAACCAAAAGAAAACAAAAAAATATCGTTCTCAATTTATGTTACAGTTTTGAATACAAAGTGCAGAGGACAATTATGGAAAAACGAGGGCTTATCAGTTGTGTCCCACACTCTTACTGCACTAATCAATTGATCTTAAAGGGATGCAATCAGAGTAACGATATGCTTTTCTTAATCTATACTCCATAATAAGATTTGAGCATGCGCCATGCGTAATCAATATTCAAGCAATCATGTCAAATAGTGGATTGGAGAGCTTTGAAGAAACTTGAAGTATTTTTTTTTTCTTTTTATCTAGTGAACAATTATCATTGTATATTTTAAGGTCGTTCGACCAAGAAAATACAGTTAAACAGTGAGAACTTTGATTAGCAGGGTCTTATCTGTTAATCTATTTAATAACGGATTTAATTCTTTTTCTGTGAGTGGATTGTCATGAACTCATGTCCACTTTTATCCATATAAAACCAAGACCAAGGGTTGAAATAAGAAGACAGTTACGCCAATAGAGTGCAAACAATCTCTGTAACTTATAGCTTGTTGATGCACAAAATCGGAGGTCTTGGAACAACGTAAATCCGACCGTGAATCTGCAAGAAATGTAAATGACACAAGATGTATTGTGGTTCACCCCAAGGTTTGGGCTACGTCCACACTGAATATGTATTTATCTGAGGGAGAGAGAGCTCTGAGAGTGAGAGCTTGGAGAGGGGTGAGGAGCCTTATGAATTGGCCTCCCCCAATTGTGAGGGTGAGGGGTCCTTTTATAGAACAAGGACTCCTTACTTATTACATATTTGCCCCTTCCTTTATTACATAATTACATTTAAGTCCCCCGAGTATTTATACGAGGTCTAAATACGAGGCCCTAAATATGGTATAAACAGTAGTCCCCCAAGTCTTCAGTCAAGAGAGTCTTTTGGCTGGAGACTTGAAATTCAGTCCATGTGTGGGCCGAAGTAACTAGATGTCGTCTAGAACTGATACTCGATATGAGGCGGTGCCCAATCTGAAATGATGCTCAACTAGAAGTAGCACATGTTGCGAGGCTGCTCGGCTTGTGGCTTATGTTGCCTTGGTTGGCTCGGCTTGCGGTGCTTGAAGGTGAGAGGGTCCCTTTTATAGAATAAGGGCTCGCTCCTCAATACATAAATGATGGGCTAGAGTTGATGCTCGCGGCGAGGCGGTTGCACAGTAGGCGGCGATGCTCTCTAATGGTGGTGAGGGAGTCCCTTTTATAGAATAAGAGCTCGATCCTCAATACATAAGTGATGGGTTAGGAGTGATGCTCGTGGCGAGGCAGTTGCTCAACTGGCGGCGGTGCTCTTTAACGAAGGTGAGAGAGTCCCTTTTATAAAGTAAGGGCTCGCTCCTCAATACATAAGTGATGGGCTAAGTCCCCCAAGTATTTTTTATGAGTGCTCTCTAATGAAAGTGAGGGAGTCCCTTTTATAGAATAAGGGTTCGCTTCTTAGTACATAGATAATGGGCTAAGTCCCCCAAGTATTTTTTCATGAGGCCCAATTGAGGCCCAATATATGGTACATAATGTAGTCCCCCAAGTCTTCGGTCAATAGAGTCTGTTGGCTAGAGACTTCAAATTGAATCAATGTATGGGCCGAAATGACGGTTGTTTGGAGACAGTATTTGTATACCCTGCACTGAAGCTTTGTAAGTGAAGCTTTTGAAGCTAGAGCTTTTGTAAATGAAGCTTTTGAAGCTGTAGCTCTGTAAATGAAGCTTTCGAAGCTAGAGTTTTTGTAAATGAAGCTTTTGAAGTTGTAGCTCTGTAAATGAAGCTTTCGAAGCTAGAGCTTTTGTAAATGAAGCTTTTGAAGCTGATTGACATGAGTGATGCTCATGAATGTTTATGTTGATTGACATGAGTGATGCTCATGGATGTTGTCATGAGTGATGCTCATGAATGTTAACATGAGTGATGGTCATGAATGTTTATGTATGATTGTCATGAGTGATGCTCATGAATGTTTATGTATGAATGACATGAGTAATGCTCATGTATAATTTGGAGTATTGGGCATACTTTTGATCACCTGGTTGGTGGCATGAAGGAGAGTACGGGTTGTACATTTCATCACCTGGTTGGTGGCATGAATGGCTAGTTGCCAAATGATATTAGAGTACAGGTTGTACATTTCATCACCAGGTTGGTGGTAATAGCGGCGGGTTGCCGAATAATTTTGGAGTACTGGGCGTACTTTTGGTCACCTGGTTGGAGCTATTTTGGGCTTATGGGCCTTCGCCCTCTACACGACATGCCAGCCCATTTATTTTGGGCTTTGCCGTTTTTTTTTTTGTTACCCTCTGATGGGGTTTATACAGATGTCTCCGAAAGATAAGAAAAATAAATTACATCATTAAAAAATACTGCTGCAGAAGGTGGGTATGACAAATGGTTGGATAATGGGATAGTATCTGCACAATTGAAGGTTGGGTAGTGGCATGGCAGATGGCTGCAGAAGTTTTTGCTTTTCCTTTTTCTTTTCCTTTTTTTTTTCATTTGCTTTCTCTTTCCGCTCCTCCTCTGTCTACCCATGTTCTATGGCCTTGGAGAACATCTGACTTTAAGCTTTTAATTGCCATTGCTTTTCTTGCTTTTCTCTAAAATGACAGCTGTTTGGACAGCCCAAAACCACATGGAATAGTCAGCCTTGTCGAATCCCAATCAGTATGTGAATCAAACACCAGCACCTGCGCTCTCGTGGGCCACGCTGCTACCGGAAAACGTGCAAATCGTTTTTCCCTTTCTGCCGTGAAAAGAAATATTTTGCACTCTGATGGTGATATATCTCCTTTTGTAGCTCCCTGACCTGCCACATGAAGGTTAGACTTGAAACCGTAACTGGTCAATTGGTTTGCTCTCATAACTTCTTTTGCTAGTATGGTGTAGCCTTCACTTCGGACACAGGCCACACAATTGCCGTCTCTGTTGTGAGATTTA